TCTTTTTTCTTGAGACAGGGTCTTACGATGTAGTTCAGGCTGGTCTTGAACTCAGGTGATCCTCTGCCTCAGCTTCCTGAGTGATAGGATTATAGATGGCACCCTTTTTAAAATTTTGAGCCAATGTCTTGCTGGGCTTGAACTCCCAGTCCTCCTGCCTCAACTTCCCAGACTGCTAGGATTACAGGTGTTCAACATTGCAAAGAGCTTATTTTCTGCTTTTATAGAGGAGGAAAATAAGACTCAGGAGAGGTTTATTTACTTACACATATTTATAGAGCCACCGCTGTATGGTAGGTGCAACAGCCTGTGGTGGGTACTTAACAAGCGGAAGCATAAGCACATTTTAACAAAAATTGCTCTTTATTCCTCAAAAACAAAGGTGACAAAACTGCTGGCATGCAAAAGAACACCACAAAAAAATCTCAGACTTGATACACTGCCCTCTTAACAACATATAGCCCCCTTTCATTCTTTTTTTTTGGTACCGGGGATGGAACTCGGGTCCTTGCGCTTATGCAGCAGGTGGCGAAACCACTGAGCTAAATCCCTGGTCCCCGCTTTCATTCTTAATATTTTTATTTTAAAACATTTTAAATTTTTATTGGTATATGTTTGTTGTCAAAAATGATTACATTCACCGTGGGGAGTCTTTTTTTTTGGTACCAGGGATCGAATTCAGGACCTCTCGCTTGCGGGGCAGGTGGCAGAACCACTGAGCTAAATCCTGGCCCAATTCCTTTTTTTTTTTTGGGAGTCTTAATACTTTACTCTTCCTTCCTCTCCCTTCCCCTCAAACAGCCAGGTGTGGTGGTACATGTCTATAATCCCAGCACTTGGGAAGCTGAGACAGGAGGATTCACCGTGAATCTGAGGCCAGCCTGAACTACATAGTGAGTTCAAAGCTAGCCTGAACTACATAACAAAACTAAGTCTGGGCTCTGGGGATTTAGCTCAATGGCACCGCACCTGCCTCGTAAGCACAAGGTCCTGAGTTCTATCCCCAGTACCCACCCCCCAAAAAACCCCAAAACACCCAAACCCAAAAACCATGTCTAAAAAACCCCCCAAACCAGCCTAAGTGTGGTGGAGCCCACCTGCAATCCCAGCACTCAGGAGGCAGGAGGATCATCCCAAGTTGAAGGCCAGTCTGAACTACATAGTGAGACCCTGTTTCAAAAAAAAACAAAACAAAACCCCAAAAACTAAAAAAAAAAAAAAAAGCGTAGGCTAAATAGCAAGACCCTGCCCCAAACAAAAACATAAAGAATCTAGTTCTACAAAAAATCTCTTTGCACTAAATAACATAGCTTCAAAATAAAAACTAAGATATGATGGTTCAGAATAACAATATACAGAAAATACAAATAGCCTGACACTGTTTCTTAAAAATCAACACTTTCACAAGTAAAATGGGTTGGAGAACAGAAACAAGAGTCTACCATATTCTTTTCCCTCTCCGAGCTTTTGTAATCGCTGTTCTTTGGCTTCGATCATGCTTTCCATGACTTTATCTACAGGTGACGTTTCCATCTCTCCTGTCCATTATCTAAGCCCCTGATTGTTTCAGCCACATCATTTTTTTCTACAATTAACTTACTCATTTGTTCGATTGTCTGCTTCCCCAGGGCAAGGGGTACCTCTTATTAAATAAAAAATATAAGAGGCCGATGTTTTATACTAGGCTCCTGCACTTACATTCCAACAGATCAGGCTAAAAATAAAAACGAAGTCACTCATGGTAAAGTTCCACTCCACCAAGCTTAAACTAAGCCGTTTATCTGACTTTATGAACAATCAGGATTAGAGAGGAACAACCAAATTTCTCAAACAGGCCAGTTTCAATGCGGATGATTCAAAAAAGTAACCTGATGTTAATCAGTTACTATATTTTTCTATTGTTCTGCCTCTATCCAAGCCTTACAAGGAAAGTAACTTTGAAACAATTTTGTTTCTGCTTTCTTCAGCCCTTTTTCTATCTCTAAAACAAATCTTTGCTGCTCAGCTCGCTGGAACGCTTCTATTTTATAGCATGAAGGGTCGCCTAATTCCAGAGTTGAAAATAAAGCCAATTAAGATCCTGACTCTAAGTTGTTTTAATTTTGTCCTTGGACTCTTTCTAGTCCTGGTATCCACAGCAGCGTCTGGCTATGGCAGGGGTAAAGTTTATGTGGGACGGAATGAATATAAGCTCTACGAGACAGAACTTCTGAGCCACCAAACTTCTAGCTGGGTGCTCGGCACTTCAAAGCATCACAATAAAGATTTGAGGAATGAATGAGGCAAGCGAAAGAAAAACCGTCCCTTTACTAAAATGGCGGCCCCCGTCCCCTTTACCAACATGGCGGCTCGCTGACGCAAGCCGTTGGGCCAGGGGGCGGGGCCTGGAGGGCCGCGGGGCGGGAGAGAGCCGTCAGGTGTGGCCCCGCCCCTTACCCGCTCCGCCCTCCCTCGATTCCGGATTGGTCCGGTTCCGGCGCCGCAGCTCGGTGGCCGCCCTGTGGTGCTGCCGGGCGCTCGCCACTTCCGGCGCGTTGGGGCTGTCGGTCGGGGGTTTCCGCACGGCGTGAGCGGCGGCTCCGGGCGGTCGGGGGCGCTCGCAGGGATGCTCCGGGGTCGGTGAGGACTGCCCGAGCCCGCGGGCCTCTGCCCTGAGCCGGCCAGCTGGGCCGCGCCTGCCTCCGAGGCCTCTCCAGCTTCCGCCCGTGAGCCTCGGGGCCGGGCCGCCGCCCCCTCTGTCCGCAGAGGCCGGGAAGCCCCTGCCTGGGCCCGTCGCCTCCCGTTCGGGGGCCGGGCCTGGGCGGGGGCCCCGAGCCGCTGCCTCCTCGCCGGCCTTCGAGCCCTGTTTCCTGCTTCTTCCGTTTCCTTGGGGAGGGGCGCAGGGGTTGTGCATGTGTTGTCCCTGGGGTCCCCGATGAGGCGGGCCGGGCGGCCGTGCCCTTTTTAGGGGTCCCCGCGGGGCCACAGTGGGGAAGGGGTTGTCTTTGCGTGAGCGGGGGACTTCCCGAGCCTGCGGGGACCATGACCTGACCGGCGCGAGCCCGACGTGTGCGAAGCCCAAGAGCCAGCTCACCTGAGCCGCCCCTTCCCGGCCAGCATGGTAAGCAGGGCGGCAGCCCCTTCCCTGGGCCGGGGCTGCTGAGCCTCGCGTCTCCCGGGCGGGGCGGTGCGTGCCGGCCGTGACACGTGCGGGGTGTGAGCTCCCATCCCCCGGGTCCGGGACCTCTCGGGGAGGAGAGGCCTAGGAGCCGGCCGCACGAGCCTGGCAGCCTGGCGTCTGGTGTTTGTTTCCCTCGTCGTGCAGCCTGTCGCTGTAATAGCTAGCGTTGATTCATTGAAAGCTTACCGTATGGCAGGCCCAGTGCTCAGTGATTGACATGTGTTAATCGGAAAGGAAGCGGGAGGCTGAGGCACGGAGCGGTGCGGCTTGGGAGCTCCGAGGGTTAGCGAGCTGCCCGGATTCTTGGAGAGCAGCTCGCTAGGCTGTAGGTTTTCTGCCTGGGGAAGTCGAGAGCCGTGAATGACGAGCTCGCTTACGTGGTCGATGGCAGTCTGCGGTGGCACCCCTTGGCTTCCCGGGCTGCTGCTTTTTCTGTTACATGCTCTGGTCTTTCCCTGGCAGGGCCTGGAAAACGATCCGTCCTTTTAGCTCAGAAGCCTCTGCGGAAGGTACCTCCTTCATTTTCCAGGCTCACGTCTGTTAGTAGAGTTTTTCTCTGTCGCCAGTTGTCTATGAGCTCTGTCGAGGTGAAACTGAGTCTCCGCCTGCCCCGTGAGCCCAGCCTGTGGGTAGCATTGCTCTCAAGGCCGCACGTTTTAACCTTCTGTCAATTTAGTGCTGTAGTGTAGAAAGGGTTGCTGTCGCAGCTTCTGTGACATATTTAGGCCAGTGGGATTTTCAAAACTTTTTAAGGGGCCTGAGATTGTGTTTCGTCCTTGGTATAGAAAGAGGATATAAAGCATAGACCTTGTCCTCGTGGGGCTTGCCGCCAGGTGGGTAAAACCCACCACTAATGCTGAGTAGCGTGGCGTAATTTGTACTGTATAAACCACATGTAGTGTGCAGATTTACTGTATGTGTTCCTAGACTGTACGGTGTTAGAGCAGTTAAGCTCTTTGAGTTCCAGTTTTCTCATCAGTCTGGAGATGGAAATTCTCTAAAGAATAATCCAAAAGTATGAGGTATGTGTATCATTTCCTGATTGATGGAAGTAGTACTCATTCCTTTATTCTTCAAAAAATTTTGGGGGCCAGGGATTTAGCTCAGTGGTTCCACTGCCTGCTCCGCACGCGCAAGGACCAGAGTTTGATCCCCGGTACCAAAAAAAAAAATTTTTTTTTTGTCTTTTAAATTGTAAAATATACATAAAACCTACCATTTTAACCATTTTTAACTGTACAGTTCATTGTCATTAAGTACATTCATGTTTTTGTGCGCCTATCATGGCCATCCATCTCATGCATTTTTTTTGTCTTCCCAAACTGAAACTCTTGTGTCCTTTAACATTATTTCTTTTCCCTTTCAGCAGTACTCCTACTCTGGTGATCACCATTTCATGTTTTGTTTCTGTGAATCTGAGTACTACAGGTACCCCATATAGGTGGCATCACAGTATTTGGTCTTTCGTGACTGGCTTATTTCACTTAATATATTCTCAGGGTTCCTCCATGTTGTAAGGTATGTCAGAATTTCCTTTTTAGGAATGAACTCCATTGTGTGTATGTGTCATGTTTGCTTTTATCTATTCATCCATCAGTGGATGTATGGGTTGCTTCGACCTTTTGGCTATTTTGAATAATGCTACTATGAATATGAGTGTTAAACCTTGGGGATGTAGCTCATTGCTGATGCGCCGGCCTGGCAAGCTCAAGGTCCTGAGTTCCATCCCTGGTACTGCAGGAGGGTGGAAAATCTTGCCCTGGAGGATGTGCAGATGAGCCAGACAGACATGGTTGTCCCCTCCTTGTACTTAGAAAATTGCGTGAATAGAGTTTTGTTATCCACTGAGCTGCAGAGCACCCTTGTGTTCAGGTTTCATTTAATTTGCAGTCAGAGCATTAGAGTAATCATTAGCCAGGTGTGGTGGTGCATGCCTGTCATTGTAGCTAGTAAGGAGGCTGTGGCAGGAGGATATAAGTTCAAGGCCAGCCAGGGCAATTTAGTGAGACTGTGTGAAAACAAAAAAACCCGAAAAAACAAAAACCACAAAAAAACCCCCATGTTGAGGTCTTGAGTTCAAATCCCCAGTACGAAAAAATAGTTGTTAACTTCATGTCCTCCAGTTACATTTTTTTTCTTGAAGTTGCAGGTCAGGTTTTTTTAGCCTGGGCCTCGATTATGTCAGCATACAGCAGGTGGCCATGGTGGATATAAGGTAGTAGGGTTGCCTAATCACATTCTCTCGGAGTCACTCACACCAGTGGTTCCCAGGTCCAGGGTCAGGAGTGATTGCGTGGGGCAGGCTTTGACACCTAACAGCCAAGAAGCCATGGCCTGGTTTGTGTTTTAGAGGAGGAGGGTCGTTTTCATGGGATCATGGCTTTGTTTTTGTTCTAAGAACTCTTCTTCATTTCTTGCTGCCTTACTTTTCTTGTTTGTTTTTTGGAGACAGGATCTTACCATGTAGCCCATGTTCTCCTCAAATGCACTATGTAGCTGAGGTAGGCCTCCAACTCCCAACAGTCCTCCTGCCTCAGTTTCCCCAGGGGTTGGGATTATAGGCGTGCACTTCCACACCCAGCCTGATTTACATTTTAACTTTTTTTGTTTGTTTTTGTGCTACTGGAGATTGAACCCTGTGCCTGCCTCATGAGTGCCAGGCAAGTGTGCTACCATTGCATGACATCTCCAACCCTTTTTATTTTTTGAGACAGATTCTTGTTCATTTGCCCATTTGGCCTCTAACTTGTTATCCTCCTGCCTCGGCCTCGTGAGTAACCTCCTGTGTGCTACTACCCTCAGTCGTTTCGCTCAAGTTTGAGCATTTATAATATCTTCTTTTAAAAATGCCAGCAGTATTAAGTCTTGAAAATGGGCTAACATGATAAAAACCTACCATTCCTTAAACATCTCTGATATGCTAGCTATTTTTTATTTATTGCTTTTTCTTATGGTCATTCAGCATCAGTTAACCACATCAAACTCTACTAGTTTACGTTACTGCAGTTTTACTACCAGAGGAAAGATTAACACACCTGCCATAGGGTACCTGTTTTATTTTGGTACCGGGGATCGAACTTGGGTCCTTGTGCTTGCGCAGCAGGCGGTGAAACCACTGAGCTAAATCCCGGGCAGGGTACCTGTTTTAACAAGTGGTGGAACTTGCATTGCACCCAGGGTCTTCTACTTCAAACCCCTTTGCTGTAGAGTGTCCCACCTCTTGGGAAAGACGATCAGTGTCACCCAACTGCTTTGGTTCTGAGATATGTAGTTGTGGAGCAAAGGGAGCTTGGGGAATTTTCTTTAAACTGCCTACCTAGCAGGAAAGATCCTGCATTTAAAACCAGTTGAAAAAGATTTGTGGTTACAGTAGCTAGCTGTACTCTAACTCCATTTGATGAAAGCATCATTTTAGGTTGAATTCCCATGGTGGTATAATATGTTAAAGGTTCCCACAACTTTGAAAATTTATACTATTTTTTTTTTTTTTGGTACCAGGGATCGAACTTAGGACCTTGCACTTGCTAGGCAGGCATCAGAACCACTGAGCTAAATCTCTGGCCTCTATACTTACTATTGAATAAGCTGTTGCTTAATATGGAAATTTTGTACAAAGTTGAATCCTTGCTTAAATTAGCATTTCTTAGTTGCTTAGAAATTACATTAGTTACAAGAGCTTCTTATGTTGTTAATGCCACCTACCATGAGAGATCCTTGTAATGGGAGACGGAATCAGACCTTAAAGTGGGCCATTCACACTGTGTGCCATCCGCTTGAGCATACACAGTGTTGCACTGTACACTGCCTGCGGAGGCGTGAAGAGGAAGCCTTGGGGTGCAAGGAGGTGGTAGGGCAAGGCTCATCAGTACCTAGAGGTTCGGTATTTCAGTCAGTCTGGGGAGACAGTTAAATATCAAGAAATGACTTTTAACAGCTTTTGAAAAAAATTAGTACATGACATAGCTCAAATGATGAAATTACCTGTTAAACAAAAAACCCCATTAATGTGATATAAGTAATTCTCGACAATAAGCTAGAGCCATTTAGCATCTCAGTTTATTCATTTATGAAATCATTATTGACATCTTGCTTTCAATCTTAAAATCTCAGGCGTTGTGGCCACAACATATAATCATTAATATGTAGAGAGCTTAGTGCATGCCAGGTATTTAAGAATATGAATTAATTTACTCTTCCAAACAGTACCAAAAGGTAGAGGCTCTTTATTTCCCATTTTACAGGTGACGACATTCAAGGTACTGAGAAGTTAAGCAACTTCCCATGGTCACACTGCAACCAAAAGGCAGAACTGGGATTCAAACCCAGGCACTTTAGGCCAGGAAGCAGCACTTAGGAGGCTAGGGATGTAACTCAGTGGCGGAATATGTGCTTAGAACACTTGAGCCCCGCATTCAATCCCTAGCACAGGGGAGTCAGCTCAGTGGCCAAGATAAGGCTTAAATTCTGATGAATATGAGAGATTGTGGTGAGAGCGATTGATCATAGAGGAATGCATTGATTCAAGAATTGCCACAAAGGCACACTGATACCAAGAGTGGATCGATAGAAATCTAGGGGAGCTGGGCTGAGGACAAGGGGCAGGGCAGCCTTCCTAGAAGGCATATTGGAGCCAGGAGAGACAAGGGAGAAAAAGTTGTTTCCATATAGTTGAAGATCAGACACATACACCATTTATATGTGTATATCAATAAAGGATAATAGAAGATAATAGGTGTCAACGAGTCAAGGAATGAATACTTGTCTAGTGTTTATGGCTTTCTATACATACATATAGTACACAAACATGCAGCTTTTTTCATCTTGAAAACCTTTACTCTGACTTCCCTTGGCAGGTACTGCTTTATTCTTTGTTTTCCTTTGCAGTAGAACTCCAGGAAAGATTGATCTATGCCAGATCTCTAGTTCCTTAACTTCATTCT